GATTATTGATAAGTTTGAATTTGTTGCTGTCATTTTGTTATGTATTTTTTCCTGGTGTCCCTGGTTTCTTTGTTCCATATTATTTTCTGTGCTGAGATCGTTTTGTTTTGGAGTCTTACATTTTAGTGGGAAGGCTGGGTGCAGCATAATTCAACAAATAAATGAATAATTCTTTCCAAATTGTAGCAAATGTAGTGAAGGAAATAAAGTAGAAATTGTAGCAAATGTAGTGAAGGGAATGGGATAGAAAGGGACTCCAGGTGGCCATCTAAGCCCTCTCTGACAAGGTCATATTTGATTAGACACCTGAGTGATTAGATGGTCCCAGCCTTGTGGTAATCTGGGAAAATAATTTCCCAGCCATGGAGGACACTCTTTGTAAGGACTTTGTCGGGGCAAAGAAGCTCTGATGGTGCAGTAGCTAAGGTGTTCAGCTGTTAACCAAAAGGCTGATGTTTTATGCCCTCAAGCTGTTCTGTGGGAGAAAGATGAAACAGTCAGCTTCCATAAAGATTTATAGCCTTGGAAACCCTGTGGGGCAGTTCTGCTCTTTCCTATAAAAGTCCTATGTGAGTTGGAGTTGATTCAGTGGTACTAGCTTTGTTTTTTTTGATTTTGTGGGGGAAGCATACTTATTAACTATTTGTAGGTGAGGAAGAGAGAGAAGATTGATGGAGTAGGGTTGTGAGGCCCTACACAGGAATGTAGGTATTTTTATAAGTGTAATATGAAGCCACTGGAATGGAGAAAGGATGGTAGGGGTAACAGTGGAAGCAGATGGGAGAGTGAGGAGGCTTCCACAGTAGTCCAAACAAGAGAAGATGGAAGCCTTGGCCAGGGTGCAAGTAGAGATAAAAAAGGTAGAAGCCCAAGCTGGGCATGCAAATTTAGAGTTGTTGGAGTAAAGCTGAGATGAATGAATTCACCTAGATAGCAAAGAGAAGATGGCTGAGGGCCAGCCCTGAGGTTCTTTCATCACTTGGAGCTCAGGAGGAGTGGTGTAGAAGAGTGAGAAATAGCAGTTAAAGAGGAAACCCCAGACAATGTGTTGTCATGGGAGCCAAGGAGGAAAACCAAGTTTCTAGGCAGAGGCAAGGGTCAGTTGTGTCAGATGTTCCTGAGGCACAGAGTAAGATGAAGACCATCAGTTGACAGTTGGGTTTGTAAAACTAAGAGTTGTTGGTGACCCCTGACTCTAGCAGAACCATGGGTTGATGGGGACAAAACTCTATTAAACCTGAACTAAGAATCTTGTAAGGAAAGTGGTCATATCAAATTAGACATTTATTTCAGTGACTTTTGTTGGGAAAGATAGTGGGAAGATGTGGGCTTCTTTTTGCTCTGTTTTATGTGGGAGATATTAAAGACATGTTTGTGTACTGATGGGAATTAACCAGGATAAAAAATGGGAAATTGAAAAAGTGAGAGAAAAGGGCTTTTGTGGCTTACCAGGGAACCAAATTGCTTGCTATTTAAATGTTTTCAAAATCCAAGGTCTGTTTTCCTGTGAGCAAATCAAAGCTTTCTTCAGATTGCCTAGTAACCCACAGAAATTCTGATGATGTGTTTAAGTTTTCTAAGTCTCTACATCTGTGTACCTCTAGTTTGTTACCCAGTGCCTGCCTTCCCCTGCATTTTGGGCTAGTCTGTTTCCATTCCTGCCCATTTCAGGTAAACAGACTTATTTAAGAAATAGCTAAGCTTTGTATAAACAGTATAAAATTCTCCTTAATAGCCTCGAACCACTGATACAACTTAGCAATATCTTGGAAAACTTGGGAAGATTAACTATGTTAATTAATCTAATATTCTTCAGCATGAAACTGACCTTCTTCCTCTTCTGTTTCAGTATTTTATTCTATCTCATACTCGTTCCAGAGAATCTTTCAGTCTCTGAAATGAGTATTATTTCTTCAGGTCATCTTTGAGACTCTGACTTTCTACTTTGGTTTCCATACCTTTCATGTCTACACTCACAGACACATGTATATCCATTCAGTCATGTGTACATCTGCATGTAAATACATGTACATAAGTATTCTTCCTTTCACTTGTTGCTTCCTTTTCAGTACCTCGGTTTTGCCCCAGTTAACAGATTGTGGCCCTAGTTAACGTTTTGAATGCTAGCCCTTTGCCTGTAATAGCAACACTCACTGACGGGTTCTCAGCACAGCTCGGTGGAAGCCAGAAGGGTGGTGACCATAGAGATTTCAATATGGTAGAACTTGCAGTGGAAGCTGTCGCTTCCCTCCTTTGATTGAGACAGCCACCTCTAAAAAGCCAGAGTGCTGTTGTGTCCAGACAGCCATGATTATTCTTCGTCACCATTATTGCTCCCAGAACAGGGCTTTCTCACACTGTCTCTGTAGGGATAATCTAACTTCATCCCAGTGGCTGAAAGAATCTGCTAAAAACAATTCAGTGCCCAGTAATACATAGGGCTGGAAATAAACATTACAGAGTAAAAATTGACTTGTGTGGCATGAACAAAGTGATTTAATAGCCCAAGAAAGACTGGTTTCCTTTTTCTTACCAGGGGGACCATATCTGATTACGTTTTCAGATAATTTTTCATAAGAAATGCTGTTGTAACAAGATATTTCTGTTGCAACAGAGTATAAGAAGAAGGCGCAAACAGATAAGCTCCAGGATGAGATTGACATGTTGAAGGAGCAGCTGCAGCTCACCAAGTCTCAGCTGGAGGCAGCCCAGCATGCCCATGCAGTCAGATTTTCTAAGGTATGGTGCTAAATTCTGGATCAGTGGTATGGTACATTCTCATTATTCATGGCAGTTATGTTGTCTAATAGCCCAGGTGGCACAAACAGTTAAGAGCTAAGCTGATAATCCAAAGATTGGTGTTTGCAACCCATCCAGGGGCTCCACAGGAGAAAGATCTGGTGATCTGCTTCTGTAAAGATGACTACCAAGAAAATCCCATGAGGCAGTTCTACTCTTGCATGCAGTTGCTGTAGGTTGGAAAAATCAGTTTGACAGCACCCAACAACAACAAAATACTGTGTAAAGCCCCTGGGAACACTGTTAGTGGATATGAGCTAGCCTGTGCATTGGGCAACTCAAAAGTTTTCTCCCCGAATGTCTTCCAAAGCATCACAAGTATTGGTTTGGGAGTTGCAAATAAATTTTAGCAAGTTGGCAAACTTGCAGATACAGAATTCATGAGTGGTGTGGACCTGCTCTATTTTAATTTCAGTTCTCTGAATGTGATTAAATTGTGGCATGGACTCTAATAAACAAAGGACACTAGGGTTCATGGAGTTTAATAAAATGTGACCGGTTGACTCTTTAGTACTTTAACCAACAAAGCATATTGCTGGAAATACAGTTCTGTTCTGTTTTTTGAAGATTTAAAACTTAATAGTGCAGTTTCCTTCAGTGATGCAAAGGGGTATGTTTCTATCCTTTTATACTTTAACCTGAACTGCCCTGCCTGCAGAGATAATGTCAAACTTTGCTCTTCATTACCAGCCCCTTCCAGCCATCAAAGATATCCAATTCTTTCCTCTTTTGTCACCTTGATATTCCTTATGTTTATAAGTTAGCTGTTGCTGCTGCTTTGTATGTATGTATGTATGCATGCATGTATCAGGAGTTTGTTCCTTCTTATTACAAAGTAGTTTTCTGTTATATGGATGTAGCATAATTTGTTTATCCATTCAAAGTTAGCTTCTTTTATATCTTAACCGAATTCTGTTCCAGGTCCTGAAACCGAGATACCTGGTCACTGAAATAGCTTTCCATTTCTCGTGTTCTCCAAATAGCATATGCTTGCTTTTTTAAAATTATTGATGTAATTCACATATCATAAAATCCACCTTTTTAAAGTGCACAATTCAGTGGTTTTTAATATATTCACAAGGTTGTGCAACCATCACCACTATCTAATTCCAGGGCTAATTCAGCCCTCAAAGAAACCCTGAACCCATTAGCAGTCACTTCTTATAGCCCCTGATATTCACTTTCTTTCTCTATGGATTTTCCTGTTCCTCTTGGATGCTTCATTAGCATTGAATTTTAAGTGTGAACTAATATAGTTACCTTAGCTCATGCTTCTAGAGCCCTGATGGTGTGCCAGGCACTGCTCTAAGTGCTTTCCACATATTAACTCCTTTAATCTTTATCACAAATCTCAGAGGAAGGTACCATTATTGTTCTGTTGAACACAGGAAGAAAAAGGAGTTTGGGGGATAACTTGCACACAAGTCATACAGTTGATAAATGATTTTGAATACAGACATCCTGTGTTCTTCACGGTGCCCTGATATTAATGCCTAACAACAAAACACCACATTTTATTGGAGCACTAGAGCCTACAGATTGATGGGATTTCTTTTTTTTTCATCTGATCCTTCAGTTCTGCTGTTTTAGGTGAGAAATCAAGTAATGGTCAACTAGACCTTGAATCTGTTGTTGTTGTTGTTTGTTATGTGCTTTGGAGTTGGACTGGACTCATAGCGACCCCTTCTTGGGTTTCCGAGGCAGCATCACTACAGAAGTAGATGGCCCAACCTTCCTTCTGAGGAGTGGCTGGTGGGTTTGAACTTCCAGCCTTCTGGTTAGCAGTCAAGTGCCTTAGGCACGATGCTACCAGAGCTCCTGACCTTGAGTCTAGCTGGTATAAATCTAAATCTGTATTTTTTGGTTGGTAGAATGGGGCTTGTTGTTGTTGTTGTTAGTTGCCGCTGAGTCAGTTTCAAGCCCACGCGTGTAGAGAACTGTGCTCTGTGGTGTATTCAAGACTGAACTTTCAGAAGTAGATCACCAGGCCTGTCTTCCAGGCCACTTCTGGGTGTGTTCGAACTGCCACCCTTTTGGCTAGTATCGAACACTTGACACCATTTGTGCCACCCAGGCACTCCTGAAATGGGACTCCCCTACCCGAATTGATCTGGTGTCAAGGATTCTTCTAACACTCAAGTGATGTTTTTGCATAAAGTATGTTTATGTTTTATATATCATTGCCTATCTACTATACAAGGTTATAGAATATAGAAAGTTTGAGGTCTTGGGCCTTTGTTTTGTACTTTAAGAAATGTAAGAACAAAAGGATGTTTAGTGTTGCCTTGGCTTCCATATATTATTGTGCACAGACCTGCCATTGTATGAAGTATTTTTACAAACCTAGCTGAAATAATCAATACTAGCTAACACATTTCAAGTAAAGGTATGACCATTTATTTAAAATTTTGCATATTTGCTCCATATCAGAAATTTTAAAGACATGTGTTAAAATAATTTCAGGAATATGAAATGCAGAAAACAAAGGAGGAAGACTTTCTGAAGTTATTTGGTAGATGGAAAGAAGAAGAAAAGGAAAAGCTAGTTGATGAAATGGAAAAAGTCAAGGAGATGTTTATGAAGGAGTTTAAAGAATTAACTTCCAAGAATTCAGCATTAGAATATGTAAGTATTAACCTAGAAATTCTCATAGTATTAGTAGAGTTGAGTGTTGCCTTGGGAGGTGATATTAGAATGGCATGATGGCCAGAGGACCCAAAAATTCCCTTATTGTCCCTTGGCCTAGATACCCTTCTTCCTTAGAGTCTTGAAAGGCAATCAAGAAGAAGGAGCAAGTCAGACAAGGCATGGTGTTGAGAGCAGGTGCTTTGGCACCAAATTTCCCAGTGTAGCACACCTGTAAGATGCATTTGGTTGTATCATGGAGGGTCCCTTGTTCATTAAACCAAAGAACCAAGCTTACTGCTGTCAAGTTGATTCTTACTCATAGCAACTCCTGCTGGGTTTCTGAGGCTGTAAATCTTTATGGAAGTAGCCTGCCCCATTTTCTTCAGAGTGGCTGTTGAGTTTCAACTGCTGACCTTCTGGTTAGCAGCCAAATGCCTTATCCACTACACCACCCTCTTTCATTAGCTGGTTAGATTTGAGTAGCCTTAAACCATGAGCCCCTCTCTGTGTTTTAAAACTTACCACTGTCGTGGCCATAAAGGCTGATGTAGATCACCAGTGTAGGGGGAAAAGGAAGGTGATCCAGAAAACCAGAGCAAAAACTTTTGCCAGTCTTCTTCCTTGCCCCACTCCTGGATGGTAAGGGGGTTGGAGGGTAGGGAGACAGGATGTGGCTAACTGAGCCCGCTCTCCTGGCCCGCTCTCCTGATTTGGGTGAAAATTCCACACTGGCCACACTACCCTCATCACATACATGAATGATAGAGACTAACTCAACTGGGCTGGGACCTTCATCCTCTGTGAAAATGGCCAATCACTGTCCTGCAACTCACAGTTCACCTGAGCTCCCTGGGCAGGTTTAATCATGAGTCATCCTTGAGGAGGAAAAGGTAAGGGAGGGAGCAGAGGGAAGAAAAATACCTGAGCACCCTCTAGGGGCCAACAAGTTTTATTAACTCAAATAAAAGGTTATTTTTGAAATACTCCTAAGAAAAAACCAAACCACACCCACTGCCATTGAGTTGATTCTGACTCATAGTAACCCTTGAGGACAGAGTAGAACTTTCCCATAGGGTTTCCAAGGGTATAAATCTTTTTTTTTTTTTTTTTAATTTTTATTTTTATTGTGATTTGGGTGAAAATTTACAGAGCAAATACACTTTCCATACAGCAGATCACATACACTTTGTCTCATGACATTGACCACAATTTAGCACAATGCAACATCTCCTCTCCCACTTCCTCCCGATAGGTACCGCTTCCCTGTGACCATCCTTCCATATACTCCTACCCCCTGAGCTATCTCCCTGTACCTGAGCAGTCCTTCTTTCTCTCTTGCTTGTTCTCTCCATGGAGTGTATCTGCCTGAGATAAATGCTCAACTGGTATGCCTGTCTACTGCTTGATTGGAAGCTACAGGTGTGTGTTCAAATCCAGACCTGAAGGGCAGCTAGGGGCCATAGTCTCAGTGGTTCCACCAGGCTCGATTGGGCCAGTAAACCTGTCCCCACTTTTTTTTTTCAAATGATTTTGAGTTTTGTTCCACATTGTTCCCCCTGTCTATCCAGGATCTCCTACAAAGATCCTCTTTTAAGTGGTTGACAGTAGTACCCGAGCACCGTCTATTTCTTCTGGTCTCATAGTCATATAGGCTGCAGATCGGATGGTGTACCAGTCGCTAGGACTGATTGTTTCCATGAATTTTTGGTTTTCTTCATTCTTCTTGGCCCTGGACAAGGAGAGACCCATTGTTGCATCTAGATGGCAGCTTACAAGCTTTTAAGATCTCAGTCTCTACTAGCCATAGTAGAAGGTGGAACAATGATTTATGTAGTATGTTATGCCAATTGAGCTTGATGTCTTCTGGGATTATGGTCTCGAGCCCACAGGTTCAACTACTCGGTCCCTCTGGGTAGCTGGCTGTGACCAAGCAGTGACTACAACCTTGCCCCTTGTCAGCCCCATTATACACCGGGGAATTCAGATCATATACATAAAGTTATTGGACCACTGTCTGCCAACCCTATACATGTTCTTGGGTGCACTCTCCACTTCATATAGATACCTAATATTTCAGCCTGTCCACCCATCTATCCACCCATATACCTGTGTTTGCCTTCACTGAGTATGCTGTATTATATGTGCAAGAGGGTTCATTTTTGTTGTCTGTACTTCCCATGTACCTCTCTATGTCTTTCTCTTCTTCAATGCCAAGGCTATAAATCTTTATGGAAGTAGACTGCCTCATCTCTCTCCCACAGGGTTGCTGGTGGGTTTGAACTGCTGACCTTTCTGATTAGTAGCCAAATGCTTTAACCGCTATCTACTAGAGCTCCTTACACAGCTAAGATCCTTCCCCCCAAAAAACTCTTTAAACTGTAGTATAGGGTTCATGACCTGTGGACCAAATCTGGCATGCCACCTGTTTTTGTATGCCCAGTGGGCCAAGAATGGTTTTTATGTTTTTAAGTGGTTGAAAAAAATCAAAAGAAGAATATTTCATGATATGTATCCATAAATAAATTTCAATGTCTGGCAGTATAGTTTCATTAGAACATAGGTATGCTTACTCATTTATGTATTGTCTGCAGTTATGTCATACTATAGTAGAGGAAGTTCTGGTGACATAGTGCGTAAGGCATTTGACTGTTAACCAGAGGGCTGGCGACTCCTCAGAAGGAAGACTGGGCAATCTGCTTCCATAGAGATACCACCTGGGAAACCCAAGGAGGGGTCACTACGAGCTGGATTCAACTCGATGGCAGTGAGTTTATAGTTGTAGAGAATGAGTAGTTGCAATAGAACATTGCCTGTAAAGCCAAAAATATTAGTATCTCTCCCTTTACAGAAAAAGTTTGCCAGCCCCTGCCATTTTTATAGGGAGCTCTGGTGGCATAGTGCTGAAGGCATTTGACTGCTAACCAGAAGGCTGGCAGTTCAAACCCACCAGCCACGGTTTGGAAGGAAGACTGGGCAATCTACTTCCATAGAGATACTGCCTTGGAAACCCAAGGACGGGTCGCTATGCGTCAGAACCGACACGAGGGCAGTGAGTTTCTTAGTCACATTTAAAAAGGAAATGTGTCACAGTGTCCACAATTGGTGAAGATGAAATGGGTGTACTCTTTTTTCAACTTTTCATTGTACTCTTCTTTCAACTTTTCTTTGGTTTGAAATTTTTAAATAAAAAGTTGAGGGGAAATGACTTTGGATGACTCATTATCTCTTTGTAGAGTTTCCTTCAGCCAACGTCCTATTGGCTCAGTTACTCACATATCACTTCTTCGTAGATCCTGTTCTTCATAAGCATCAGAACTTCTGGGAAATACTTGCATTTACCACACATACTTGTGATCTTCTCTTGAACTCACATCTGTAACCCTTCTCCAAGTAAGATGCTGAATTATCCACAGAGGTAGAGTTTGATACTACCCAGTTTAAGGCTGGCTTGTTAAATCTTCCCCATCAAGGCGGCACTTATTTCCTCCTTAGTAATGAATTGCCAGTTCTAGTTCTTTTGTCTGACGCTCCCTCTTTGGTTCTGCTCCTGCCTCCAGGATAATCATGGAATAGAACTTGATTTTACAACTTTACCCTCCTGCCCTATTGTGTTTTTTTTAAAAACAAACAAACAGCTTTATAGAGACATAGTTCATATAACCACACAATTTAAAGTATACAATTCAGTATTTTTTAGTATATTCAGAAGGTTATACTGTCATCACCATAATCAATTTTAGAACATCTTCATCAATTCAAAAAGAAACTTCATAACCATTAGCAGTCACTCCCATTTGCGCTAAGCCCCCAGCCCTAGGTAACTACTAATTTTCTTTCTATCTCTATGGATTTATGTTGGACATTTTAAGTAAACAAAATGAAATTAATCATATAATATGTGGTCTTTTGTGACTAGCTTTCACTTTAGCCTAATGTTTTCAAGGTTCATTCATGTTGTAGCATGTATCACTTCATTTTTATGGCTGAATAATATTCTATTGTATGGATACATCACATTTGTCCATTCATCACTTTTTGGCTATAGATGTTTCCTCTTTTTTTGAAAAAGTTAACTAGGCTTTATTTTCAGAAACTGTCACGGATTTCTAGAAAAAAAACTAAGCTGACAGTACAAAGTTGTTTGTTGTTGTTAGGTGCCATTGAGTCGTCTCTGACTCATACCAATCCCAAGTACAGCAGAACAAAACACTGCCCAGTCCTTTGCCAGCTCCACGACACTTGCTATCCCTGAGCCCATCGTTGGAGCCACTGTGTTAATCCATCTTGTAGAGAGCCTTCCCCTCTTTTGTTGACCCTTCGCTTTACCAAGCATGACATCCTTCTCCAGGGAATGGTCCCTTCTTACAACATGACCAAAGTAGGTGAGACAAAGTTGGGCATTCTTGCTTCCAAGGATCATGCTGGCTGCATTTTTTTCCAGGACAGATTTGTTAGTTCTTTCAAAAGTCCATGATATTTTCAGCATTCTTCACCAGCACCACAACTCAAAAGCATCGACTCTTCTTCGGTCTTCCTTATTCATTGTCTGACGGTACAAAGAATTCCCGTTTAATTCCCCCATCCCACACAATATCCCCTATTACCATCTTAAAGTAGTATGGAACATTTGCTACAATTAGTGAACAAGCATTGAAATGTTATTATTAACTAAAATTCATACTTTATTTAGATCCCTTAGTTTTTACCTCATGTCCGTTTTCTGTTCTAGGGTCCTGTGTGTTGCATTTACTTGTCTCCTTAGCCTCCTTTTGTGACCATTTTTCAGACTGTCCTTATTTTTTATGATCTTGATAAATTTGGGGATTACTGATCCAGGTATATTGTGTTGTTGTTGTTACGTGCTGTCGAGTTGGCCCCAACTCATAGCAACCCCTCCTTGGGTTTCCGAGGCAGTATCACTACGGAAGTAGATTGCCCCATCTTCCTTCCGAGGAGCAGCTGGTGGGTTTGAACGGTGCTTTCTGATCTTTGGGGAGGAAGAACACAGAGGTAAAGCACCATTTTTATCACATTTTATCAAGGATGTTCACTGTCAACATGATTTATGTTGATGCTCACCTTGATCACCTGGCTTAGGTAGTGTTTGCCAGGATTCTGCACTGTACTCTTTGGAGGGAAGATAGTATTTGCAGTTCATACTTAAAGAGTAGAATTTATGCTACTCCACCCTTTTATTTCTGAAGTTTAACATAGGACACTTCTGTGGTTTTCCAAGGATTTTTACTACCAGTAACTTTGGAAGTAAAGAAGTAGTGGTGGTTCAGTTTGGATTCTCACCTTCCATGTGGGAGACCTGGGTCCGATTTCTAGGTAGTCTACCTCATGCATGGCCACCACCCATCTGTCAGCAGGAGTGATGCTGTGGTGCTGAGCAGGCTTCCAGACTAGGATGGACTAGGGAGAGAGGTTTGATGATGTACTTCCAAGAATCAGCCAGTGAAAACCCTATAGATCACAACAGTTAGATCTCCACCTGATCATGGGGATGCACAGGACCAGGCAACGTTTTACCTGGGGTTGCCGTGAGTTGGGGGTCAACTCAAAAACAGCTAGCAACAGCAACAAACTTTGGAAATAACAAGCAAAAGGTAAAATTAAACATTATGGCATAAATGGATTACTGATGCAGTCCCTAAACAATGTTAGCCTCTTCACTAAATTATCTTATTTTAATTTGAGAACCAGCTGTACCCATTTCCTATGTTTCTGATAACTAGTACTTGCTTATCAAATGTTTAAAGACATGTTGTTTGAGATTAGAATGTTCATTTTCCTTTCTTTCCTTTTTTTTTTTTTTTTAAACCATGTGCACTGTCAGTTAAAAAGACCCAAAAGTAGTAGAAACAAAACAGGAAAACCACTGGGAAAAGGTAGGAGAAGCAAAATGAGCTTTTGATGGGATAGTCAGATTAAGACATGATTACATGCTTCTTAATTTTACATTCTGTTTCAGTCTTATAAAATATTTGTATCATTGATTTTGAATTTTATCCTACAGCAATTGTCAGAAATACAGAAGTCCAATATACAGATCAAATCCAACATAGGCACGTTAAAAGATGCACATGAGTTTAAAGAGGACCGTCCTCAGTATCCCCAGGATTTTCAAAATGTGATGCAACTTCTTGATAGTCAGGTATGTAAAACTGGGTAGTAACTGTGGAAATGGATTAATTTTTTTTAGTGAAATAATTTCCTGTACACAGCATTTACAGAAGAAATATTCTCTTTCCATGACCATGAAGGTGACTAGTTCTTTTTGTTTGTTTCCTGATACATGTGAAATTCATAACAGTTGTTCAGTAGATGCTTGATGATTGACTGATAGAAATAGATAGAGAGTTCTTTCCTCAAATTAACAGTTGGAAGAATTGTTTCATTGTTTTTCTAACATAATGTCTATTAGAATTGGCTAGTATTATCATAGTCTTTATTTTTCACTCTTTCAATGTAGTTCTCACTGTCAAAAAGTATAAAAAGGTATATTGAAGGGGAGGGATTGGAAGATGGCTTTGTACCTGTAGCCTACATGTTTATTCCCTCTAGTATTTTAATTCCTGAAAAATTAGGTGCAGCAGTTGAAAGCAGGGATTCTGGGGCTGTGAACAGCTCATTAACTTAGAGAGGGCCAGATTTTAGTGGAGACAGAGGAAAAAAAAAAAACAGAGTAAACAGCTGGGAAAATAAACAAACCTTCCCGGCCGGTGGGGGAGATGGAGAGGTGGAAAACTCTTAAGCAGTATAGGAGAAAGCCTTGTGTGTGAGAGGAGGGGCACCACGGAACCAAAGTGGCTTCAGGGACTTGGGCTACCCACAGCAAGACCTTCTGATCGTAACCTTAGGAACTGAGCTGACTAAGTGCGTAACATTTCTGAGAAACAGAGCAGAAACCTCTGTGGTTCAGGTTGCTGCTGAGTTGAGAGCAGAAAGGGGAAAGGGAAGAAACTCACTGCAGGTGGGCAGCCCCTGGGATGAGCTTGCAGTGCAAGGCTGGGATTCAGCTCTTTCATGACAGCTTTTTAGCACAGAATGGACTGGGGTATGGAGTTTTTGTGGCTTTCCTACCCAAGTGGAAAGTAGTGGCCTCATAACCATTGGGGTCTTTGCTGATTTTGAACTGTGGGTCACAAAACGTCATCATTGGTAGCCATCCCAAGCAGACTCAAAACAAAACCCTGGAACCAGCAGTAATTACAGAAATGTGGAAAGTGGGGACTTGCTACTGGTGCCTTTTTTTTTTTCTTTCTTTTTCTTCCTCTTTTTTCCCTTCTCCCCTGCCTCACCCACTAGAAAAACCACAGTAAGCCACCACAACACTTGCTCATCCCAACTCTAAATCCCCTTCACGACAAACAGAGACCTGCATCCACACTCCCTACAGTGATTCCATCAACACAAAACTGCTGAGCAACCCAGCACACCTGAATTAATAATCAAAAAAATAAAATACACCAGCTGCACCCTTGCAAATATACTTAAATATAGAATAAAGGGGAAACAAATCAATACGTAACTAACAGTTAAAGACAACAACTTCAAAATGTCTTGGAAACACCAGGCAACCTCAAATCAAACAAACAAAAAAAAAAACAGGACAAGACAATAGAAATAAAACCCCATACTAAAAACTTATTTAACATAGATGAGGGAGAGGCAATAGAATTACCTGAGAAGGAATTTAGAAGATACGTTTATAAAACTCTACAAAAGTTCAAGGAAACCATACACAGAATCAAGGAGAATACAGACAGTACCCTAAAATTCAGGAAAACCATTCAAGAACAAAATAACAAGATTAACACACAATCAGAACTCATAAAAAAAGCAGCAGTTAGAAATCCAGAAGATGAACACTAAAATTACAGAGTTACACAATTCTCTTTTATAGAAGCAATAGGCTAGAACTGGCTGAAGAATGCATTTCCCAACTAGAAGATAAATCCCTTACACCAATCTGTATGAAGAAAAATCAGAACAAAGATTTAAGAGAAATGAAGAGACCTCAAGACTTATATGGGATGACATGAAAAGAAACAACATATGCCTCATTGGAATTCCAGAACAAGAGGAGGCAAAAATAAAATAAAATAAAACCCACTGAGAAAATTGTGGAAGACTTGCTAACAGAAAATTTTCCCCAGATCAAGAAGGAAGAAAAGATTTTTGTCTAAGAAGATCAATGAACCCCATACAGAATAGATCCAAGAGAATGTCACCAAGACATACATAATCAAATGCTGTAACACCAAAGACAAAGAATCTTGCGAGCAGCTCAGGAAAAAAGAAATGTCACTACCATGGACAAGCAATTAGATTCGGTTCTGATTATTCAGCAGAAACCATGCAGGCAAGAAGGCAATGGGATGGCATATATAAAACACTGAAGAAAAAGAACTTCCAACTAAGAATTCTGTATCCAGCCAAATTTTCCATCAAATATGAGGGTGAAATCAAGACATTTTCAGACAAACAGAAATTAAGGGATTTTGTGAAAACCAGACCAACCTTACAAGAAATGCTTAAGGTAGTCCTTTCAATAGAGAACCTGCAACAGAGAACCAAGAATTAAAATCAGGACACTTGAAATCAACACTAAAACCAAACCAGAAAGAGATGCTCAAAATAAGCTCATAAAACATTGTACACAAAGAAACAAGAGAGTCAATCTGCATATGACGTAGAAGGAATAATAGTTCTAAGTACAAAACTTCCAAATGGAGAGAAAGACATGGCAATGTCCTATAGAACATACTGTTCCAAAATTATAGAGAAAAGAATTCACTCCAGGGTAACTACAGAGAAAATGAACAATCCCCCTAAGCAAACCCAGAAAGAAGGAATATATGGATTTAACACAAAACCAACAATAAAGAAGAAAAGAGAAGAAACACTTGATACCTAAATGAACTCAGCACAGGAAAGTATTTGGACCAAAGAAATCTCCAACAACATGACAAGAAACACAATAGAATGACAGCAATCAGTTCATACCTATCACTAAACTTACCGTCATTGAGTTGGATCCAACTCAGAGTGACTCCCCCTTGGGTTTCATAGGCAGAATCACTGTGGAAGTAGATTGCCCAACCTTCCTTCCGAGGAGTGGCTGGTGGGTTTGAACAACCAGCCTTCTGGTTAGCAGTCAAATGCCTTAGGCACTACACCACCAGAGCTCCTGCTACCTATTACTAATTACACTCAATGTGAATGGACAGTCAAGAGAAAGAGAGTGGCAGATTGGATAATAAAAGAAGACCCATTGTTATGCTGCCTACAAGAGACCCACCTTAACACAAAAATAAAAATAAAAGTTAAGGGGTGAAAAAAAATATACCAAGCCAGCAGTAACCAAAAAAGAGCAGGAGTGGCAATATTTCTGATAAAATAGACTTTGAGGTGAAAAACAGCATAAGGCACAAAGAAGGACAGTATATGATGCTGAAAGGGTCAATTGGCCAAGAAAACATTACCATAATAAATATTTATGCACCCAGTGAAAGTGCTCTAAAATACATGAACGGAACACAATGCAACCATTGCCATGGAGTCAGATGCGACCCATAGTGACCCCTCCTTGGGTTTCTGGGGCAGTATCACTATGAAAGTAGATTGCCCAACCTTCCTTCCGGGGCAAATACTAACTGAATTGAAAGGGAAAATAGACGACTCTACAATAGTGATAGGGGACTTTAACACACCGCTTTCAAGGAGGGACAGATCAACTAGAAAAAAACTCAACAAAGATACAGAAGAACTCAACAACACAATCAATCACCTCGACCTCATAGACATATACAGAGCACTCCACATAACAACAACAGCCACCCAACAAAAGCACAATTCACATTCTTTTCCTTTGCACATGGATCATTCTCCAGAATAGATCATACACTAAGACATAAAACAAACCTTAATAAATTCAAAAACATTGAAATACTACAAAATATCTTCTTGGACCACACTGCTATAAAATTAGAAATTAATAATAGGAAGATCAAGGAAAAAATACCAAATATGTGGAAGTTGAATAATACACTGCTCAAAAACTACTGAGTAACAGAAGAAATAAATTGTGAAATTAAAAAATGCCTAGAAACAAATGAGAATGAAGCTACATCTTACCAAAATCTATGGGACACAGCAAAAGCAGTACTCAGAGGTCAATTTATAGCAATAAATGCACACATCAAAAAAGAGGAAAGAAACAAATTCAACACTCTAACTCAACAACTTCAACAATTAGAAAAAGAACAACAAAAAACAGCTACAGTATCCAGAAGTAAGGAAATAATAGAGAGCGGAGCAAAATTAAACAAAACAAAACATAAAAACAATAGAGAAAATCAACAAAACAAGAATTTGGTTCTTCAAAAAGATGAACAAAATTGACAAACCACTGGCAAATCTAACAAAAGAAAAGAAAGAGAAGATGCAAATAACAAGAAAAATAAAGGAAAAGGGCACCATCGCAGCTGAACCGATTAAAAACATATTGACAGAATATTATGAAGAACTGTACTCCAACAGATTTTAGAAGCTAGAAGAGATGGACTAGTTTCTAGAAACACAAGACCTACCTAAACTATCCCAGTTGGACATAGAATACTTGAACAGACCCATAACAAAGGAAGAAATTGAACAGGTCATAAAAAAACTTCCCACAAGAAAAAGTCCTGTCCTGATGACTTCACTGGAGAATTTTACCAAACATTCAGGGAAGAATTGACATCTATACTACTCAAGCTGTTCGAGAACATAGAAAAAGATGGAATGCTTTCAAATTCATTTTATGAAGATACCAAAACCAGGGAAAGACACCACTAAAGAGGAGAACTACGGAGCAATATCCCTCAAGAATGTAGATGCAAAAATCTTCAATGAAATCCTTGTTGTTGTTGTTGTTATGTACCGTCAAGTCGGACCCGACTCATAGCGACCCCTCCTTGGGTTTCCCAGGCAGTACGAAAGTACGGAAGTAGATTGCCCTATCTTCCTTCCGAGGAGTGGCTGGTGGGTTTGAACCACCAGTCTTCTGGTTAGCAGTCAAGTGCCTTAGCCACTATGCTACCAGAGCTCCCAATGAAATCCTAGGCAACAGAATACAACAGCATATCAGAAAAACAATACATCCTGACC